ACAGGCTCGGATACAACGCGAGCATGCATCCTGGATTGCGGCAGAATCACAGTCTCTCCTTGCAGTGAACAGTTTCTCACTGCTCTGGATCAGCAGTACACATAGAGCAGCAGAAGATGCCTTTTCAGTGATGAGAGCGATGGGAAGGTTGGTCATTATGGCACTTTTTATGATGCAATGGGACATCAATGCCAAACTTTAAAAAATAGTCTTACGTGCCTTAGATTTGTGGGCAGAGTGCCTGGCTGGTCCAACTAACCCCCACTAGCGGTCCCAGAATCTCTAAGAGCTCTCATGGTTAGTTTTTGACAATGAAAGCAGTGCTCCACCCAAGACAGAATGACATAGAATGCTCCTCACCCTTGGAGAGAGCACTGCATGTCATATTCATGATACCTGGTGCATTCATGTTGCCTTGGATACCAAAAGCTGTGAGGAAAATTTGAGTAGTCATGTTCTTGTGCCTGACATACAATGTTATGTGGTTTCAGTGACCATAGCAACGCAGTGATCACTTTATTCCTTCTTACTCTTTTCTCTTCATTATCACAAAAAATCTAAATCAAATCAGGACCAGAGACCAACAATTACCTACTGATAGTATTGTTGGTCTACTACATTTTTTTCAGATAGCCAGTGATATTATATTTATCCTTAAATGTACACTGTTGCCTATAAAGTTGGAATACATTTTTACCTCTTCTCATGAAATGATTATGTGATTATGAAAATGTGATATATTCTTGATACATAAAGTATATATTTTCTCAAAATATAATTGATCAAACTCTTCTAAAAAGATAATAGTGAAAATTAAACCACAATTAAGCTTTGCAAACTGTGTATTCAAGCTTAAACAAAATTGGGGGTATTGAACAATAGCATCAAGGACTTCTGTTTCAATTTTTCAACCTTGGTCAATTTAACAGGAAACACATATTCAAGGGGATTTCATGCATAAGAATGTTCAATATTAATCTTTCAAATGTCACTCAGTCACTAATATTGAGTATGGCCACCCCTGACACGGATCAATGCGTTAAGACCTTGTGGCATACTGTCCACAAGCTTGTTGATGCCACTCTTCAGTCAGATCCCGAGCTAATTCCTGTAGACTCTGAGGAATATTGTCCCACTCATTAAGGGCTCAGCCTAAAGCGGGTTTCAGACCGAACGCGGCATGCGCTGCGCTTTGCTCTGAAACCCATTATTTTCTATGGCTTGCGTGCCGCAACGGCGGTTCGGCGCAGCGCGAGCTCAACGCAAGCGCGGCACGCCACTCGGCAGCCATGTGCACGCACCGCGGTCAAAGTTGAAATTTGTTGAACTTTGACCGCTGTGCACCGTGATGCATTTTCGCACGACCAATAGAATCAAAGCATCGAAGCAGGCTAGTGTTCGGTCTGCCCCTTCAAAACACACACACACACAAAGCGGATATGGAGGAAAAGTTCATCTTATCAGTCTCTGAGTGTCCAGAAATCTACAATGCGACATAATCGTCTTACCGGGACGTCGGGAGGAAGACGACATGTTGGAGAAAGATTTCTCTTGATATAGGCATGCCAGGTGTGTTTTGTTGCTTATTGTTGGCAGTATATATGACTGAAATACCATGTGATAGCTACAGGTTATTTTAGGTTTATTAATTGAAATAATGAGGTATGGTTTTAATAGGTATAGGGCTTCAGGAAACCTCCCTGAAATGACCCTTTGCAGGTTGGGATGTCTTAAAACATATTTTATCTTTAAACTTGACATATGTTCTCCACTTTAATAGAGGACGAATGTAAAAATACCTGGAAAAATCTCAGGGACAGTTATATTAAGGAGAGGAAGGATGTCAGGGAAAAGAAGTGTGGTGCAGGGGCAGAGCAGAAAATAACCTGGAAGTACTTCGCAATCATGAGCTTCCTGGAGCCTTATGTCAGGGAGAGGGCCACCTCCTCCTATATGTCCCCATCCTCACAGAATAGACCCTCCAGTCCCCAGGCTACCTCAGCTCCTTTACCAGCCTGAATCCCCCAAGCTGCTCTCTGGATATGAGGGTCTCATGCACCCACAGCTTATTCTTTCTTGGTGCTAACAGAGCTAGTGCTAGTGCTTTTCTTTTATACATTGTCGTGACTGACCATGGGCCAGGACAACAACAAAATAAGAGAGTTTAGAAAACCACACCTACTTTTTTCATTGAGCCCCATGGCAAGCGCAGTGTGTTGAGCGCATTTGCTGTTTTTTGAGAGGAAATGCCACATTCAGTCTGAAACCCGCTTAAGGCATCCCAGGCATGCTTGATAGGGTTCATATCAGGGGAGCAAGCAGGCCATGGCATCTGCTGCACCACCTCTGCATCAGGAAAATCTCTCATTGCAGCTGCCCTATGTGCTCCTGCATTGTCCTCTTGCAACCTAAAGTTGTTCCCATAGACCCTTCTTGCATGTGGGAGGCGATGGTTCTCCAGGAAGTCCCAGTACACGATGTCATTGACGTTTCCATCCAACTCTACCAATGGGGTTTTTCCTCCATAATGAATACCAGCCCATACCAGCACTGAGCTGCCACCTACTTGAGTGGCTTCCTGGAAGCAGGCATCGCCGCACCATTTGTCTTCCAGCTATATGGTCAAGGATATAGCGGCTCTCATCTATAAAAATAACATGTCACCAGTGCTCAAGCTGTAATCTTCTGGGCTCCGTAGCCCAGCGAAGTGAAGCCACTCTGTGTTGAACAGTTAGGCATTGACACTTGGTCATTAGTCTTGCTCGATAACCATGCTGAAGCAATCTTCGATTTACAGTTTGGCGGGAAATGTTGATCCCATTGTATTTTCTCCACAAACGATGAAGGTGGCTTGCTGGCATTTTCCGATTTCTATATTAAGCAGCTGCTAATCATCTCGTCTTGTAGTTAGTCGTGGGCCTTTGTCCTAGGGTTGGAGCTAGGGTTGGCACTGCGGCCTATGCTTAGGGTTTGGAGCTGTGGTTGCCACTGCGGCCTATGCTTTGGCTTGGGGCGGAGGCTGCCCCTGTCGCCTTTGTCCTAGGGTTGGAGCTAGGGGATGCCCCTGTGGCCTGTGCTCGTCCTGGAGATTTTCATGGCCTCAAATGACCCTCCTCTCGATGATGTTTGACGATTTTACAGACCGCACTCTGTGTTATTCCAAGGAAATCAGAAATGTTGGCCTGTCAGAGTGCAAGCACTCTTTGCTATATTGCCAGTGGTGTCGGACAAGGCATAGCCTAGGGAACTTTTTTTTGTCAAATTTGGTTGAAAATTATCAGCCAATTCTGAAAACATGGACTTACTGCATACAAACTTTACGCAGGAAAACGAGAACACCACGACTGTCTTGCCTTTTATAGCGCCAACCAATTGTTAAGCATGAATTTGTTTCACCTCGGTAACTGGGACACAGTATGTAATCATTGCGCCTGGTCAAAGGTGATTACTGATGTGTATAAATAGCAATTAAATGAGGAATGTGTCTGAAAACAAAATTATTCCAACTTTATGGACAACAGTGTAGATGTAGATAATGTAAGATATATGTAAGATCTACTTCTTCTTGGAATACATTCCTCATGGGGTCCAGGCTCCCCACCAATATAAATGGTCAGAAGATGGATTAATTGGAAAAATATCTCTATATACAGACTTGCATGTCCCACTGGGTGGGACATGTTCACCCCACAGACACAAAAGCAATAGTGTTTCCCATTGGGTGGAGCATGGTGACCCCACCCACAGAAAAGCAATAGCTTTCCCAATGGATGGAGCATGTTACATGCACCCACTGAAAAGCAATAGTGTTTCCCTTTGGGTAGAGCATGAGAACCCCACCCACAGAAAAGCAATAGTGATTCAGATTGGGTGCAGCATGGTCATTCTATTCTTGTCCTCAGGCAGGAGGTGCATGAGGCTCCATCTACAGAGCATGAATGGCTGTCCTCCGTATTGTTTCCCATTTCCTTCTATGTACAGGCAGTCCTGCTACAACACAATATTACATCACAAATCTTGTTCTAACATGATTTAAATATTATTACCAAAGTCCTACAGAGTGTGGAACTGGCCTTAGCGAGAAACACTGGGCCATTTCACCGAATAGGTGCCATTTCCTTGTTGTAACTCTTCCAAATTAAACTTAATTTTGTATCTTTTTTCAACTCTGAATCTAATAACACACATATTTAACTATTCAATACATGTATTGGTCAATCTCAGGCAGCTTTTTAATTTTTTTTACAAGGTTTCTAAGCCGAAGATGGTTACATTTTTCTCAGTCCTGTTACAGTACCAAAACTTATGTGACATTTAAAAAGCATGTTTTAAAGCATGTCAACTAATTCCTTTGATTTTCCCTCAAGAAAGTGTTTATTTTTAAAGAAATGGTTGACATGTTCAAATAATCGATATTTATGACAAAAAAAATCACTATACATGCATGCACGTTGTATATTTCTAAAAGATGCAAAGCCATTTTTATCTTTTCAAGAACACCCAAACTGAAATTGATTAAAAATTTTTATCATGTAATTTATCATCAATTAAACAAGTCTATTGAAGTTACAAATGAACTTTGTGTTTAAGAACCGTGTTAAACTGTGTTTACGGAAGACATGCAATACCATGATTAAAAAGCATGGCTCAGAGATTGATCACTAGGACAATAGCAAATGAACTGGTCCAAACTGAAATGAGAATCAAAGTCCTGAATGCATCATCAAATTGCTAAAGCTGGATTCATTTTCATTACTTTTAAGTGTTTTTTATTTATTAATTAGTTAAAACCCAGGACAGAATTTGGGCAAAGTCTATAAGTAAATAAATACTGTAGCGCGGAGGTACCGGTGGGCAGCGCAGCATGTTGGACTTACGCCAGCTTGTAAATAGTTCTCAGTAATCGCTTGTGTCATTATAAAAGTGCTGTGTGTTATGTCATGTATAATTGTTAATGTTTATTGTAGTACCCACTGTGTGTATGAGGAGTAAACGGGGCGATGTGCACGGTGAGCAGTGCGAGTATGTGGATTGTAGTAATACGGGTGTAATAAACGTCATCTGGTGATTAAACCCCGAACTATCTCTGCTGTTTAATTGTTGCAAGAATGGTTTGACGGCCCACTAGTTCAATACTTTATTGTAAATATTAAACTCTGTGTGTGTGTGTGTGTGTGTGTGTGTGTGTGCACGCGCAAGTGAGCCTATTTGCTTGCCTGGCGCCGCTGAGTTACATGAGCAGCATCGCTTACACAAACAGCCGCAGTGCATTCAGGACAGAAATTGAAACTGAAGTATCGATCTCATGACGCTGCCATACCCATGTGTGTTTCGATAGACAGGCAATAGAAGCAGAGTACAAGGTCATGCATGAACATGCTTTATTTGTGATTGTTGCGTTTCAAAATCATACTGCAGAGGAAACCTCTGCTTTTCTCAGACATGTCCTGGAAATTTTAGCTTTTGTGGACGCTACGTTGCTACTTGATCAAAAAAATAACATAACTACTGGAAAGTTATTTGATTCAGAAATCAGCGACGCAACAGGCGAGCTACTAGAAAATGTAGCTAAACTAATAGCTTCGCTACATGAAGCGCCGGTACCGCCCATCACTGCACGTATCACAATACGTCAGCTGGCAGGGAGGCCGAATTTGGTACCTCTCTGGGTGCAGACAGTGGGACTACCTGTACCATATGCATGGGTGAGATTGTGGAAAGAACAACACTGGACAAGTGTGGACACTCCTTCTGTCGGACCTGCCTAGATCAGGCATTCCAGGTGAAGCAAGTGTGTCCAGTGTGCCGCATGGTGTATGGCCAGTTAATTGGGAACTAGCCTGCCAATGGCAGCATGATGGTGGAGCGCGACCCAGACCTGTCGGGACATGAGGGCTACGGCTGTGTTTGTATAATCTACATCTGCAAGTCAAGAGCACCCAAACCCAGGGTGAGGTATCCAGGAACAGACAGTGTGACCTACCTCCCGGACAGCTCAGAAGGAAACAGTTTTATAGGTCTGCTGCGTCGGGTCTTTGAACAGCGACTCATCTTTACCATTGGTACCTCCATGACCACAGTCATGCAGAATGTCATCACCTGGAATGATATCCACCACAAAACCTCCATCTGGGGAGGGCCATGATGTTTCGGCTATCCAGATTCAACACATCTAGTTCGGGTCAAAGAGGAGCTTCGAGACAAAGGTATCATGGCTGACTGATTCCCAGGATGGCAATGGATGCTCCAACCAACATCCTGCTGCTGCTACTGCTGTTAACAGGGCAGATGGTCCACCTGCCCTCATCCTGGCCCACCAACAGCACTTATCCTTGTGGGAATGCAGGTGTGATCTGCACCACTCTGCTATTCTCCCAGGTCTAGTTTTTTAAATTATTTTCTTTTAGAACAGGATTTGCTCCATCCCAGTCCTGCTGGTCAGTGAAGACATGCAAGGATGTCTTTCTTACCTCTCCTCTTTTTAGCATTGAGATATATCGAAAAAGATAATATAGTCCAAAATATAGGCACTAAAATTTTGTAACATGATGCATGTCTGTTTTTATTAACCTCTTTTTTTTATTTGTGGTTATGTTAATAATTGTTTGTTAGTAGTCAAAGGGAAAACAAGTGTTTGAATGTGACTACCTTAATTCCCTAATGGTTTTCAGTTATATGCTTAACGTGCACATGTAGGCGTAGTATTGCAGCAGAAGGCGCCGTCCGACGCCCAGCCGGAGCAGGGGGGCCCGGAGGCGGCCGACACGGACCCGCAGGCGGGACCGAGGACCGGCACCGAGGATCCAGGGGGGGACCCGGAGGCGACCGCCGACCCCGAGCCGGAGGACCCGCAGGCAGCCACCGAGCCACAGCCAGGGGCCGAACGGGCGAGCCAGGGGGCAGGGCGGGCGGGACCCGGGCCCGACGCCTATGGCCCCGTCCCTTACGGGACACCGAAAGGTAATTCAGGGAAGCCCTGAAAAGATATTGTAAAGATATTTGTTTTCCTGGGTCGATGTGGGTTGAATTCTTTGAATTGATACGTGTAACGTTTTGTCTACTACAGATATAATAAATAACCATGTTTATACTGCATAAGAAGATTTGTTGGTAAAATAACAAGAACAATTTGGGTGAAGATGGTGGCGCAGGAGGTAGAGCCTCGTTTCTGCACCAATCAAAATTCAGTCAGATCAGGTCTGATCTCAGCATTGCTGTCATTGTGTGCCCCTCCCTGTCCCCCTGACTTCATGTCCCGCCCCTTGTTTTAGCATTCTAGAATGTTAAGCGTTCCCGCCCTTTGTCTCATTCACTCCAAACTTTTCACAGACACACACAAGTTACAAGAGCTGTCAATAAATCATGGTGTGTTCAAAGCAAGCGAGTCTGGATTCTTTCTTTCGGAAGCATCCATCAAATGATGCCGACTTACAGGATGAGCCAGAGGCAAAAAAGCATCGCCCATTTACTCGAAATTACAACATTTCATACATTAAATTCGGTTTTATTTCTAGCGATAGTACCCCCCGAAACCAATCTGTGTCATCTGCCAAGCTAAGTAACGAGGCTATGAAACCGTCGAAATTACACCGGCATTTGGAAACAAAACATGCACAGCTAAAAGATAAATCAGATGACTTCTTCAAAAGAAAATGCGATAATACTACACATATTTCAGTACGTGATTTTCAGAGTGGTAGTTCTTCAGATCTGGTCTCATCTCAGCCTCATGTTGGTCTTGAGCCCATTTTGTCTTGATCTTTCCTTGGTCTTGACCATAAGTCTCAAAATATTACAAGACATATTATCTGAATGGATATGCAAATATACTTCTTTTCAGGGGTGCCGCCAACTCAGATCAGTTGGGTTATGTTTCAACTTTTTTAGGGATGCAGTCACTCAGGGGCCCTTGGAATCGTCCTAACTTTCCCCCATTTTACGGCGCCCCTACTTCTTTCCACTCACTAAGTGGAAAAAAAATCCTGCATTGTCCTCTTGTTGCAGCGCTACAGTGAACAATGAACTACATCTCCCAGCTGCCCTGGCAGTGTAACGCTATTGTATGGCTTCAGAGGGCACAGGGACAGCTGAAAAGATATACTGAGCAAGCAGACCCTTTAAAAATTAATGTGAAAGATGCTGGAAAGATTGCGATTGTCCATATGTTTCTTCATAGGTCTCTCGCACTCAATTGGATTATAGCTTGACCACCTTGCGTTACAGTTTGCATATGGATGTATGTGCTGTCCTGTGCCTGCTTGTCCAGTGTCAGTTCATCTTGAGTGGATATACCTTTGTCTGGGGAGCATTCCCAATCAGGGCCTGCCAGATATGAGGTCACGAGGCCCAGATCTTGGTAATTTTTTAAAGAGCTAAAAATAAAATTTCACCTCAATTTTGAAAAATCAGCAGTTGAAAATATCTGTGGGCCACGTGAATTCTTAATTCAGTTTTAATGTTTTATTAATAGTGTCTGCTGTGTGTATGTGTATGAGACAGAACTAGAGCATTCAGTATCAGCATGACAGAGGATGTGCAACTCACGAACCACACGCACGTACTTCACTGAAAGCTGTTCAAAGTCATGTTGGGTGTTTGTGATCCTGCAGTATTGTAATGGAGGGTGCACAAGCAGCATGTCATTCAGTTAAGCAAAGCAATGATCATTATCTGTAAAAAAAACATTGCAAAACGGGAACCTGCTATAGCGTCTTGAGTTACGATAATTGTATGAAACGTTAAATATAAGCGTAGGCTAGGCTACTCTGGCCATGTTAAAGGCTGGATTTCTTTCATATTACACCTAATGGGGTGCATAAGGCTTTTTTTTAATTAATGACTTTAAGATTAGTTATAATGTTTCACATAACGTCATTAATAAAAAATAATAATAAACAGCTTATGAAGGGGATGGTATCAGTAATAGTGTAGGAAAATGTGCAAAAAACATTAGAAAACTTGCAATTCCTGTCACACAAATCCGTGTAATTTGTTTAGTGCTTTTTTGTTCTTAAATAAATGAAATATAAGATATGCACGGAGCTCCTGAGGGGACCTGTGCAAAAAATTAAAATCATACTTTTGCATGCGCACAAGATATTTTCTCATGTGCATGACTTAATTTTGCATGAGCACGAGATACTTTCATGTGTGCACACAGAAGTAAGAGAATTTTTTTTTTTTGAATAGGTCCCATCAGGGGCTCCATAGATATGGATACAACTCAGTTGCATTAAATTGGTTGTTTTGAAAATACTGCGGTAACTCAGTCAATTTAGTTTTTTTGGTGAAGCAAACAGATGAAGAAACATTCCAGACTGTCTGCCTGAAATCCCCCCTGCTGGCTGGCACTCCGGCACATTATCCTGTTTTCCTGGCCTATCAGTAGACCTGGGTGTCTTTGTCAGGTTTTTATAGAACATTAAACCACACAGGGATTGACAAAAGCACAGCCAGATGGGAGTCATTAGCAATCAGCGAAGAGCTGGATTAACCCTATTCATATGTCAGCACTGTGTTAATGGGGAACAGAGAAGGTTATTATATAACCCACTGGTAGTGTCACTGTCAGTCATGGGAACAGTCAGATAATAATTTCAGGCTCGTTACTATATCACAAGTGGGGTGGGAAATGCCACCTACAGCCTAATAAAATTAACATCCATCAGAGAGGGCTGTACAAAGTATTGCAGGCTGCTACTGTGATACACCATTAGCCCTGGTGTACAGGATATATGAAGAAGCTAAATGAATAAGTATTATCAGTGCAGAAAAGAAACACATACAGATGGATTTACAGGTAATTCCATCTAGTTTATTGATTTTTGTAGATAAATCCCATAGCTCTTAAATACAGTTGTCATTTGCCTATTAAAAATTCTTATTTATTGCATGAGTTTTTCATAATGATTATTTCAATTAATGTCTTCTTAACAAAGCATAATATTTTATAAATAAATTTTAAACATTTGCCTGCAGACTAGATTCATTTCCTACACCCCAGCCAACACAGAAAATCATAAATATCTCAGGATATAAATATAATTAGTGCCACTTAGTATTTTTTGTAGCTCTGCAGAGGGCAAAGATCATTAATGAAGCAGACAGGGTACTGAGGGTGAGGAGGCACAGTGGAGAGGAGCTCAGGGAGTGGGAGGAGCTAAGGCAGCTCAGGGAGTGGGAGGAGCTAAGGCAGCTCAGGGAGTGGGAGGAGCTAAGGCAGCTCAGGGAGTGGGAGGAGCTAAGGCAGCTCAGGGAGAGGAAGGGCCATAGAGGTGAACAGAGCAGCAAGGGGAGACAGGGACAGTACCAAAAGAAATCCCTCTTTCAGCAGCAGCCCGTTTCAGAAAGCCGGAGTGTGTCCATAACGGGGTGCAGAGGAAGAGGAGGGCAGTGAGGAGCGGTCCCTGCTCTGCTCTCAGCCTCTTCTGAGCTTGTGCAGCTTCTGGGCCACGCTCTCCAGCTCCGACTCGATGGCTGCCAGGCTCTCAATCTCCTGGTCCTGCTGGGAGAAGAGGAGGACAGGGGAGAGTACAGGTCAGGGGTGTCTGCACAGGGAGGAATGCAAGCGCAACTACAGCTGGGAGCCTGAGATGTGGAAAACTCAGTATCAGCCAGAATGGCAAATTTGGCCAGGATGGATTCACCTGTTGATTGCTGGGTATACAGTGCCAGTCAAAAGTTTGGACACACCTACCCATAGAAATGTTTATTTGTACTATTCTCTACATTTTAGAATGATTACAAAGACATCAAACCTATAAAATAATGCAAATTGTCCCAAGAAAAATTTATGTGTTGTGGGCGTGGCAGACAGCTGTCAGTTGGAACTCAGAATGTTGCTTGTTCAAATCCCTGGGTCGGCAGACTGATCCCACCATTGGGCTCTTGAGCAAGGCCATTAACCCCAGTGGCTCCAGGGACAGGCGGACCCTACTGTCTCCTCTATGCCAGTTTCATGAGGTGGCCTCCTGGGATGCTTTTCCAGCTATCGTGAAGCTCCCAGATATACTGAGCACTCATTGGCCTCTTTTCCTTCACTCTCTGGTCATACTCCTCCAAAACCATTTCTACTGTATTTAGATCAGGTGGCCAGGTATGTGATGCAACTAGGGTGACCACCCAATCCATGTCATGAGGGACACTATGAGCTATGACAGGATTTGCAAACTGCCATTCTAACTATTTCAATTAAAAAGACCTGGAATTAATTTAAGCACTGAGTTCTTGCTGTGTGTTGATTGGTTAGTCTCCAATAATCATGCATGTGTCACTAATGTTAAAGTGAAACAGCTGGATGAGTCTTTCAATCAAGGAAACAAACTAGTAAAAGTACAAGACAAACCAAACAATTTAGCCGAGTAGGGGAGCCTTTCATTAAAGTAGTTTGACAAACCTGAATTAGCTCATAGTGTCCCTCCTGACATGGATTAGGTGGTCACCCTAGATGCAACCCTCTATCACTCTCCTTTGGAGGCAGCTTGGTGTGTCCAAATTTTTGACGGGCATTGTATTTAAGAATGAAGTCTAGACAACATGAGACACTGAAGTGATATTTCAGAAACAAGCTTTTCAGGGTGTGGTATGAAATAACATACTGGATCCCACCGTAACTTAGATGGCCATGTAACTCTGCATGACCCTGACTATTAAGTGAGTAAAACATGAACAAGGTCAGCTATAAGTGTTCAGTGCCGCCTGAGAGACTACAGGCAGTATGTGCTTATCAGGAAGAGGCACCTTAGGGACACAAGACAGCTGCAGGCAAGCAAGCTGTTTACTCCCAGTCGTCATGGACACGGAAAGGCCTCCCCGCTGCTCTCCTGCTTAAGGAGTATCAGGCCATGCTGGAGTCAGATCTCCGCATTTGGCCAAAGCCCACATATTCCTAAAGTGAGATCTCCAACGCCATGCCACATTGCACATGCGCCCACTGGCCCAGGCAACAGGAACATACCTCAGCTTTCCTGCTGCCACTGCCGTCATCATCTCTCCGCTCAGTGGGCTCCCTGCGAGCCATCATCTGGAGCTCCTGGATTTGCTCCTCACTGTCCTCCTTGGAGTGGTGGGACGGGTTGAGCGCCATGGGCTGTTCTCCAGCTGTGAAGGTGTCATCACTTCCTACATCCATCTCAGATGACTTCTCTGTCATTTTGACAATTCTGTTCCAGTGTTTGATCTGCTCTTCCTCATCCTTTTCTTCTTCATCTCCTTCTGCCTCACTGTCCAGTCCTTCAGGAGACCTCTCTGCATCCTCCTTTTTTGCCACCTCCTTCTCTTCTTCCTCCATGTGTTTTCCCACCTTGAGCTCTGCCTTATGACTACTCTCTAGCTTGTGTCCTGTGGGAGAAAAGTGTAGACTGGAACTCGACCTATCTTGGCCTTTCTGGGACATAGAATCACTAAAGTTCTCTTGAGTTTATTTCACTTAGGTTCTCCTTGTAGTACACCAAAAGTAGCCATGTAGATGTTGAATCCCTAATCTGAATCTCCTCAGTAAATTATCAACAGCATTAAATGGTAAGAGTGTTTCTGAGTATTAATGTTAATCTAGAGCGTTCTGAGTTGCCCCACTGTAGTCAGCCACAGCACCTGTTCCAGTGCTCCTATCCTGGCTGCCAGGAGGATCAGAGACTTAGCATTTGCCTGATTGAATTGCAGGGTTTTATGCCTATTTTGCAAGCTTTCTTACCTGGATCTAGTTCAATTTCCATTTATTTAATCAATCTGGTACCCTGCTGAACTGACCAGAATTATAATGGCCCTCAGAATTGCTGCCCCATCCATCATAGTGCTATTGCTCTGCCTCAGCATGTATCTCCCTTTACCAAGCATAACAAAGAGGGCACCAGATTGGCCTGTCAATCCAGTGGGTCTATGATTAATCTTTTTTCTACTCAACAATCTCAAATCTTCCTGGGCACACATTCCATATAGCTGTAGGCACTTATTGCACTATAATAACCCTCATATTTTTTTCAGCCTCTGGTCAGCTACAAAATTCATGGATTATTGCTGTTAGGCCACACGTGACAGAGGTTTGTCACATGTTAATCGAGCTCCTGTAGCCACTGCTCTTATATCATGCTGTGATTTGCTCCGAGACCCTGGATACAGATATCCAGTTTCTGCTGAGCAGACTAATGTTCTTAAGTTAGCTTCCTCTGCATTGTTTATTTAATGGGTAGGGTTTAGCTGGCAGGTTCAACAAACCTGTGTCAGCTTGCATCTTGTATTCCCCTGCAGCACTCCTAACCTGATCCTCTTCAGCTTCCTCAGAACTGGTCTTCCCCCTCTGTTTTGGCCCATGCTTATCCTCCTCCTGAGTTCTGATAACCAACTTTTGGTTTTGCCTGCTCTCCTGTTCCTTGCTGTTTGGCTCTTCAGATGCCTTGCTGGCAAACATTTCCTTCACATCCAATCTGGCCTCCCTCTTCTCAGTTGGAGCAGCCCTCAAAGCAACCAGCATGGATTGGTCTAAGAAGAAGAGAAGCAGTATGGGTTGGAGAAAAAGTACGTGTTTTGTCAGTTGAGAAAATGAAAAGTTGTGGCTATGAGTTTCTAGGCCACAAAGACAAGAGCACAGTGCAGCTTTACCTAACCCACTTAGCCCCCACTAGTGAAAAGCAAATAGGGCAACCAGTAGTGCATGTCAGGGAGGACACTTTGAGCTACTTCAGGTTTTAAAAACTACTTTAAAACTGAATGGCTCCTGTGCTTGGCTAAACAGTTCAGTTCCTCTTGTGCTTTGACTGGTGTGTTTCCTTGATTGAAAGACTCATTCAGCTGTTTCACAATAACATTAGTAACACATGCATGATATGGGAGACTAACAATAGAGGTACTGTATGCATAGATAGATGCATAGATGCATGTGCTGTGTGTAAGGTAAGACTATGTCTATGAGTGTATTTGTTTGTTTGTTTATTTATTTATTTATTTTGGTGTTAGCTTTTTTTTACTGAATGTTCTATGCAGTTGCTGTTACATAGATGTGCAACTGTATCTAAAAGTAAGTACAGTATAATCAGTCACCCCAAGAAAACTTATAATTTCTTGTTGAATTATAATACAAACTACGAACATTTTTGGTTTAAGATTTTAGCTAAAAGTAAAAAAACATCAGGCTAGCTCTTGACATGAAATATGGATATTTTCAATAAGATATACAAAGACATGATGGGATACTTTTTCGTAACGTATTGATTTTATATAAAACTGAAAAAGTCATTTGCTGTTTTATTATGAGTTTATTTCACTTTGGTTCTACTTGTAGAAAGTCAAAAGTATTCATTACCTAGATACTGAAAGTTCAACTAAGCATAGCCCCAAATCCGAATTTCCTCAGCAAATATTAACAGCGTTAAATGTGCTCCTCGACCGTTACATTACCATTGCTAATTTATGCGACAAATGCTTTGGGAACAGCCTGGTAACAATGGAAAAGTGCTGGAAATAATCACTAAAAACACAGGCCCATGATTCTATATGTTTAACAGTAGATCTAATACGTATTTTCCTGTTAAAACATGTTAAACAAAAACACTGTAGTTTGGAGAAGCAAGGAAAGCAAGCATTAAATACAGATTTTCCAGCTTTCAAATCCATGAATAAAGAGCAAATTGGCGGCTGACCAACAGTGTAACTTTGGATTGAACACTGGGGGGCTTGAAGTCCCCACCCATTCATCCTGACAATATGATTATTTTGGGTGATCGCATTGGCCTGTTCTAGTTATTGGGGGGGATTTACAACCCCCCTGTCCCCCCATAGTTTGCACCCATCCATCTGACCCACACTTCAAATGACAGATTTCGGTTTGTGTTCCACCCACTGTCTTTTCAGTAGCTGGTTATTTGCAAAATTATTGCTACACTTCCAGTTTTCTCAATTATTGCAAATTTGGACACATAATGTTTTCATATCCTCAAAAAATACTAGATAAATACAACCAGGGAGAATAATAGTTTTTACTTATTTAATTTTTTGAATAAACTGATTTTCTAGGTAATTCAACCCAATTAGAGGGCAATAAGAATTACCTGACTAAACACTGCCAGTCTCTAAAACCCTGCAGAGGTGCACCTTCCCATAGAATTGCAAGTGTTCCCTGCCTCATGAAAATTATACCTGATTCATAGACGAGTATCAAGGTTGAAACCATTGCTCACTGATATTGTAAAAGACCCCTCTCATCCTGGTAACAAACTATTTCAGCTTCAGGCAGAAGGTTCCGCAACATCATGGCCAAGACAGAAAGACCCACAAGGAGTTTTTATCCCCAGGTCATTTGACTCCTCAATCAGGACATGCCCCCTCTCTCTACACTGTATTATAGTATATTATTAGTACTTTTATACTATACTGGACAGCAACCTTCTCATGGTCTCATTCTCATCGTCATCATTCCATACAATGCACTTTAGCTTTATAACTGCATATCACACATCTGTAAATCTGTTTCAAATCTGTATTATATTCAATGTTCTATTTAAGCCCTTTTTATTTTTTTCATATCCTTTGTAACTAGTTGCACAGTCAAAAGAGTGGTTCAGGATACATTTCACTGCATGTTGTACGTGTATTGCTCCATTCTTTCTGCTGCAAAAAGGGCTACAGAGTGGCTGCCAGAGCCGTCCTGTATTCCCATCTTACACTCCACCAAATTTCAGTGAAACCTTCCACAATGCATATATATGCACTGTGGATTGTGGAAAGGATGGTCTGTGCCCCAGGTGCACACTGAGGGAAGCGCAGTCTGTGCCGCTCCCCCCACCCCCAACACACACACACATATACAAACACGCGTCACATACACACATGGCTAGGGAAGATTCTTACCTGCTAACTCTCTTGAACCCAGGGAATACCCCAGCATGTCAAACATGTGACCAGCCCCAATCGCATTCTTCTGATTGGCTCTCTCAGTGGCCCCTGTTGATGGCCAAAACAACAAGCGTGTAACAAGCATGTGGATACCTCATATAATCTCATATTTAATCAAATTTAATAAAATGCTGAGTGGTATGTGCTGTTAAATGATTTAAGCTATATTTGATTTCCTTTTGAATTTTTTTAAATGTTTCATTACCTTGAAAGGGTTTACTAATTAAGTATTACCAGTTAAGCAGTAGCAATCAGCTTAGGATAATTCCTTTCTTGGATTGAACATTTAGGGAATGCACACTGTGTTACTCTGCTGGCTCTTTAATGGCTGGTCTGATACATTAGACAGCAGCCTCTTACTTATGACACCAAGTCAGGTTTGAGGTCCCACCTTGAGCAGCAATATCCTGAAGCTCTTTCAAGAAGTTCTGGTGGCGGAGGATGGAAATGAGCCGCTCATCTAGGAAACACACACACAGAACAGAGGAGGGCCTGTTAATCTGTTAGCAAGACTCAGCTATGACCAGTCATTGATCACATTAAGAATTTTGCTTTTCGGTAGCTAATTGTGCTGAAATTTATAGTGAGTGGCTTGGGGCTCTACTGCAAACAGGCAATTAATGAACACAATTGCACTGCTGGGCCTCCGCTTTCTGCTTACCGAGGAAGAGCAGCAAACCCTCTGAAGGACCAGGGGGAACAAGAACTGACTCCCCACATCACCCTACACATGTAGCACTGGTACTTCACTCACCCTGGAGTCCCTCCTCCCTCTCCAGTTTCTCCCCTCTGTCAGAATCTGTCTCCTTTCCAGACTCTTCTGTCTGTCGAAACTCTGCCTCCTTTCCAGTCACTCTGCTCTCTCCTTACTCTACCTCCTCTATAGTTTCTTCTGTCTGTACAAACTCTGCCTCCTCTCCTGTCACTCTTCACTATCCAAACTCTGCCTCCTCTCCAGTCTCTCTTTTCTGTCCAGGCTTTACCTTCTGTCCAGACTCTGCCTCCTCTCCAGCCTCCCCTCCCTCTTCAGTCTCCCTCTGGGTCTCAGTCAATGTGGATCAAGGACTTTCTGCCAAACTGCCCACAAACAGTCAGAGTTGGCCCCCGTCTCTCCCCTAATCTGATACTCAACAATGGGACCCTACAAAGCTGCGTACTGAACCACCTCTATTCTTTCTACACATAGGACTGAGTACCTGTTTTCCTCATAAACACAATAATTAAATGTGCAGATGACACAACAGTGATGGGTCTGATCTAAAAAGGGGATAAGCCTATAGGGAAAAAGTCTGCAAACTGGCAGTTTGGTGCACAGAAAACAACTTGTCATTCAATATCAACAAAACCAAAAACCACCCATTAAACATCAATGATGATAATGTGGAAAGAGTCTCCAGTTTAAAATTTCTGGGAATCCACATCACGGAGGACCTCACATGGACAACCAACGCTACCAGCTTGGTGAAGAAGCCACAACAGTGGCTGTACTTTTTATGGTCACCTAAAATAAACAGCCTGTCCCCCCAACTTGTTTGTGCCGTTCTGTCTTTGCTCCATTGGAAGCATCTTTTTTCACATTTGCAGTGTGAAATACTGGTTTTGTTTGGATTGTCTGCTTATTTGTTTGCACTGTTAATTTGGCACAATTTAAATTTCTAGTTTGCACTTGTATCATTGCATCTTGTCATAATTCATAGCATCACTCTCTCTGTATGTTCTGTCTGCCCTCTGGAATGCTGTATGAATGAAATTCTGTTAGTATCTAACCAGGTGCACAAAATATATAAATATATACAAATAGAATAAATTATACATGATTTATTGCATTTGTATATATTTGTATATATTTTGTGCATCTGGTTAGATACTAACAGCATTTCATTGACTCTTTACCTGTACTCGGCACAATGACAAAGCTGAATATAATCTAAAAAAAAATCCTCCCTCTCCAGTGTCCCCTCTCTGTCCATGCACTGTTCCACCCATTTCCTCCCCATCCTGTTTGGTCTGGATTACATAACCAGCTCCATTGATTGCTCAGCACTGACCAGTGAATCATCTTTGCTACTTCACTCTCTGTTGACCTCCCTTGTCCTCATGCCATCAGTGCCTTAGTTTTATACTACAGTGACAGTTATATTCCAGCTCACAATGACCAATCCCCTTGCTGAAAACCCCTACCTGCTCTCAGGGTGTCCAGGCACTCCCGGCTGACAGGTTTGGGCCCGGGGATGGACAGAACATCAGCAATCACCTCCACGATACATTTCATCACCTGCAGAAATCAGGGATCAAGAGCAGAGGTGGATGTAAGGGGGTCGACACCCCTAGTAAATATATGGCCACCCCTGTAGCCACCCCATATCAAAATAATAAAACAATACAGATTGTTTTGTTTTCTAAAAGGACCCATAAAAAAGCACGGAGTATCATGCCCAAGCCCTTAAATATAACTGGCCCCTGATAGCCACCCCAATCAAAATGTTCTGCAGACACTGTCTGGTAAACTGCTTGTGAACAATGTAATTAACATACAAAATACACTCAATTCTTTTTTTCACACTTGAATTGCATGTGCTAGAGATCAGTACATCTGGAGTTTGATGAGTAGACTTTAGCCTGCTTGTCTCTTAAACCAAAGAACAGAACCAAGGCCAGCCTGCTCTATTGGCAACATAGGCAATTGCCTATGGTGCCATTTCATTAGATGCACATAAGAGTGAGTGAAAAACATCAAAAGAAATACCTCTGGTTGCATTGTATGATATTACAGTTTTAATATTTCACTACTTTTCTTGTTTGAACAGACACGACTTAGCTAGGGACACCTTTCCTCTGCACCAAATGCTTTGTATCCTACCCACATGATCAGCGCATGCTCCCCTCTAACCACTCGATGTATTTTCTCTTTATCTGTCTCTGTTCATGCAGGCAATGCACCCATCAGCATAACAGGTCAGCTTGTCCATTCCTCACTAACTGCAGCAGCACGCTCAACTGATATTGCAGCACTGGCACTGTTCTGTTCCCTTCCACGGAGAGGGATACAGCTACCAGGGCCATCCCTCTCTGTTAAAATGGAGAGCCTGCCAATAAACTGAATCAGTGTGTTTTCATTTGCACTAAACAGCATGTGGGAAACTGTGCCCATGTGTTTCTCTCTGTTATGTAATTGGTAAGAATCAGAGTTCTTAGTATTTTAGTCGAACCCGTGTTTGCCTTAGACCTAATTGTCTCTGACCCCCTTGAAGTAGGCTACATGTAGAGCCAAATCAAACCATCAAGTACATAAAACTGATCCGGAAATTGACGCCATGTGTTTTCTTGGTTCTTTTCCCACTGCCATTTATGTATAGTATATACATATATACTATATATATGTTTTTGATTAATGGGGGTTAATGGGGGTTACAATCCCCTGTCCCCCCATAATTTATGCCCATTCAAAAGTTTAAAGTTAATAATAGTTCATAAATCAGAATCTTACCTTTACGTCATTATTGTCCATGTGATCTGATGTTACTGGTAAAGAAACAACTTCGGGATAAAATATTTTTTTTTGTTAGTGATCATTTTAAATTCCTCCTCAGAAACTTTGGTTTTGATCAGAATACACGGGCCATCTAAAACGTTGCAGTGTAGTTTTACGCAATGACATATCCTGCCAAAAGCGATTTAGATTATATTATATAAACACACTTGACACTGAATGCATTATTTAAAAAACAGTAATGGACCTAATACGCATCTAACCAAAGTAAGTGTATCGTGTTTCACAACGTTTTAAAATATATACATTTACAAATATAAAACAGGAAATTTAATCCGTGTTAGAATGATTATTACATCCGTGGAGTTTTGGTTTCTAGCTCTGTCCTTGGTGCTGAACTGAAAAGGACAGCTTCGCAAAAACGGAACGTATTTTACAGTAGACAGCGGAACCATTAATTGAAATGCAATCAAATGTCTCAGTATTTCCGACATAATAACTCATGTTATTATGCTCATAACATTTAGTAATATTTACTTACCATAATTCACAATTAATGCAAAAACAACGCATGCCCTTGTCATTTTTGCTGATGAGAGACGATGAGACGTTGTGAAGCACAGTGAATTTCCCTTAATGAATGAATATAATATTTAGATCAGCAGTGCATCTGTGGCTGCATTTATGTGTTTTTCCTTCTTTCTGCAACGTTTGCCTTGCTCCGCCGTCGTCTCAGGTACTGCTTAATGCCGCATCACTCGATTTATATGAATTTGTGGGTAGGAAATGACATCACCGAAAATAAACTGCCCCCCCCCCCGCGCAAACCTTTTGCATATGAGCACCTAAAAGGTTTCACGATCTAGAGTAAGGCAACTCGGGAAAATTGTTACTTTGATTCGAACGTATTTGCAGCTTTTACTTCAATTTCATATAAAATTATAGAAAAAAGGGCAAGGTGAAAAATCACTGCATCGCATAACGTATAGTTACTTAGGGTAAGGAACTGCAAAACCCACTTCAATTAAGCAGTTAACCTTGACAAACGTCAAATTATATGTGATTCTTTTGATAATGGTTCTGAAAAGGAGCATGGTACGTGTGGACCAGTAATTAAATTTCTTCACCAAGCGTAGTGCCATTAGTGATTGGAAAGTTAGGTTCGATGTACAGAACCGATTCTGTCGAGCTCGAGTGAGTTCTCCAGTAACGGTGGATCTTGATGAATAACGAACAACATAAAAACAAAAGAGATTTGCGAGTGTTTCCCAAAAGCCTTCGTTATTCCAGAATTAACGAACAAACTACAGTTACACTTTGCTGGCTTCTCCCCAGTCTCCACACAGACTTGAGAACAGGAAGATCGATCCCCCGTGTTTCTATGGTGAAATATATGTTAGGTATATTATTGTAAAACGCATTTGTAAAAAAAAGAAAACAAAAAAACCCACAATAAATTATTAACAAAAAAACTATAATTTAAGACCACAACAAAGTAACCTATTGAAATACAGTGTAGCGCAGGTGAGATTTGCCTATACTGTATAGCCTATAACCCGAATTCCGGAAAAGTTGGGACGTTCTTTAAATTTGAATAAAATGAAAACTAAAATACTTTCAAATCACATGAGCCAATATTTTATTCACAACAGAACGTAGATAACATAACAAATGTTTAAACTGAGAAAATTTACCATTTTATGCACAAAATGAGCTCATTTTAAATTTGATGTTTGCTACAGGTCCCAAAATAATTGGGACAGGGGCATGTTTAAAATTTAGGTGATCAGTCGTCATTGTTGACACACCACAGCACAAAACAAAAAAATATGGCCTCTGCATTTAGCCCATATGAGACATTGTGACATAGCAGGGGACAGCTATTTCAACATCCAGGGAGCAGTACCTTGCTCAGGGTACCTCAGTGGTGCCTTGTTGGTCAGGGATTCAAACCAGCAATCTTTCAATTACAAGTGCGCTTCCCTAACTATTAAGCCACCACTGCCCACAATGGTGTAGCGTCTCATCTTCTTTTCAGAACAAATTGAAGACATCTGGGCATAAAGGTTATGAGTTTCTGGAGGTTTGGTGTTGGAATTTGGTCCCATTCTTGCCTGAAATACGTTTCCAGCTGCTGAAGAGTTCGTGGTCGTCTTTGACGTATTTTTCATTTGATGATGCGCCAAATGTTCTCTATAGGTGAAAGATCTGGTTTCTCTGAATCTTTTGATGATGTTATGCACTGTAAATGATGAGATTTGCAAAGCCTTTGCAATTTGATGTTGAGGAACATCGTTTTTAAAGTATTCCACAATCTTTTTACGCACTCTTTCACAGATTGGAGAGCCTCTGCCCATCTTTGCTTCTGAGAGACTCTGTCTGTCTAAGACATCCCTTTTATAGCTAATCATGTTAGAGACCTGATATCAATTAACTTAATTAGTTGCTAGATGTTCTCCAAGCCAAATCATGCTCCCGTGCCAACTTTTTTGGGACCTGTGGCAGCCTCGGTGTGTCCGGCGCCAGAATGTAGATGTGGTGTTTCTTTCTTGTAAAAAAGAACAATGGCGAGCAGCAATAGGAAAAGGAAACAATATTTCTCAAAAGAAATATAAAAACTTATTGTGGGGGTATAGCTAAAAATAAGTTTTAATAAAACAGTTACTGCAACAGTGGGCAGCCTAGCACACACAACAACAACAGTACAGCATCAGTCAGGGGAAATTGTTAGAGGTCCCAAGGACTTGTGTAGGCATTGGAATCACATCTTTCACTTGCCCAACGCACACTCTAAAACAGTTTGGGCTCTTTGGTTTGCAGTGTTTTACCTTTCCTCAGCCATGGTTTGGGGATTCAACCCTTGAATTGGCAGATATTTGCTAAGAGGATACCCAATGTCTCCCAATAACCAGCCACTAGCAAACGTACCATGCTTTGCCATTTGTCAAACTCCAAAGCTGGACCAGATATAAACACCATATGTGTCCTAGGCCATTTGGCCACAATTTCTGTAAAATGTTGTGTTATATCACCAGGGCATTGAACCCTTTTCAACAGGTGTAGATGGAATTCAAGAGACTATGTAATCCACTGTACAGCCACAGAAAAAATTAGGAATGCCTCTGTGAATTTATATATATATATATATACACTCACCTAAAGGATTATTAGGAACACCTGTTCAATTTCTCATTAATGCAATTATCTAATCAACCAATCACATGGCAGTTGCTTCAATGC